CCCGAGGGAAGCCTCAGGTCGGGCATGTCCTCCTGCAGGCGGATTTTGGACGAAAAGGGCAAGAGACTCAAAACAGAATCAAAATGGTCACAAAAAATACTCAAAACAAATCGTCCCCTACTATTCTTCGACTATTTGGGAATCATACTCCTGTAGAGGGACGTGCCCGACTCGAGGAACGCCGCGGGCGGGAGCCGCGGCTGGCCGGCCGCCACCCCCCCCCGACGAGGAGAGGAGAGCGCGGGCCCCGCGGCGCATAGGAGGCTGGACACCCCGGACTCCGCAGGAAAAAAAAGGAAAACCCAAACATCCCCGGGCTGCTGTGAAAACATCACGACGGGAGTTTTTTGGCCATTCTCGGCCTCTGGGGGCCCTCGCCGGGCCCCAGGGCCGTCAAAAAACTACCCAGGACGAAAAACCAGTCCCGGGGAAGTGGTCCAGACCTCTGGGGGTCGACGTGAGGGGTCTGGGCAAAAGGCCACCCTTTCAGGGCCAGTCTGGGGGGGTCTGAGATGGCTCGCCTGGGAGGCTTGTGTGACCCCCTCCCTTTTGTTACGACATCTGGAATAGTTGTGATCGGGTCGCCGCGACTCGAAAGGCCGCCATCTGCGGGTACGCCCGGGGACGGTGCGGTCACTGTCCCTCGCCCTGCGCCTGCTGGCGAGCAAGCTTCTTTTGATCTGCGGCGTCTCGGGTACGAGTTGCGGTCAGGCTGCGCTGGGGCGCACGGGAAGCCCACTGCGGCACAGGAGGAAAAGGGAAGACTAGCAGACAGGAGGAGAGGCTGCGCGCGGCAGGGGGGACCCTCAGAGCGTGAAGTTTTTCGGGACGTGCCGAAATAGGCTCGTCGAACTGAGAGCGCAGAGCCTAATGGCAGAGAAGCCTCTCAAACATCAACCCCAAGAGAGCACCGAAGAAATCGTTCGCTACTCGAGCTGCCGGGGTGCTCTTTGCACGTGGCTGTTCAAAGCTGCAGAGGGCGCGACGGGATTCGGAAACACTCCCGCGCGTGAGGCGGAAGCCGTGCGCGAGAATCGACGTCGCGCTGCCTCGGCAGCTATCGCGTGCTACAATTTCCTGGGCAGGTCTGACGCAAAGCACGCTTGAGAGGAGGGCGAAATGGGAGGGAGGCAGCGGAGCGGAGCGGAGCGAGGGGAGGGAGCAAGACAATAGGGGAGAAATGGAGACAAGGGTTGGAGGGGAGGGGCTGGGAGGGATGGAGAAGGAAGGGGAGGGGAGAGAGGAAGAGAGGGGAGTGGAGGGAAGGGAGGAAGGAACCAACGCAGACATGAGGGGCAACGATAGGAGGGGACTGGCTTGGGGGGGGGCACATTGACCTGCAATCGGCGATACGTCGCCGATTGATCGGCGATAGGCCCCCTATAGCGAAGCCGCACGTTCCTGCGAGACGTGGGGCTATTAGACCCCTGCCGGCGATCAGTGGACGATTGGGTGTCGATGCGTCCCCCCCCCTATGCTTATCCCCCCCTATCGCTGCCCCTGAAGACAAGGACGGGGTGGAGGAGGGAGGGGAAAAGGGAGTGATGGAGCGGGAGAGAATGGATGGATACATGGAGGAGGGAAGGGAGAAAGGCAGGCAGCGAAGTTGGTGCAGGGATAGAGACGGGGGAGGAGATATCCGTCGTAGAGGCCTCGACTGCCTGACCTGACCCAGAGAAAGAGAAGAAGACAGGAGGACGGTCCAGTTCTGGCTTACCCCAACCGGACCATTAGGAACGGGAGGAGGGCAGAATCCCACCGGCCTTCTGGGCGTAGGTGGTCTAAGGAGGTTCCTCTTCCAACACCCTTCCTCCCCATTGGGAAGGGGTTTATCTGGACGGTTTCCCCTGGGGCCGTAGGCGACCCGAGGATGATGATGATGATGATGATGATGATGATGAGGAGGAGGAGGAGGAGGAGGAGGAGGAGGAGGAGCAGCAGGGGGAGGAGGAGGAGGAGGAGGAGGAGGAGGAGGAGGAGGAGGAGGAGGACGGGTCGGGTGTCAGCATTTTGCCTGCTGCGCGCAAGGCTACCATCCATAACAACAAAAAATACAACATATATTTCGCGGCTCCATCTGGATCATGCACGGCCACCCCGCGATCACTGTCGAGTGGTTTTTGACAGAGACGGCTGGGGGGGTGACGTATGGCCTGCTGTGCGCAGGCCCACCAGACACAATGATGGGCAGTGCTGTTCGACAAGGATGATTGGGGCCGACATGTTTCCCGATGTGTGCTCTCACGTGCGCAAGCTCACATGACACAGTCTGCGCGTGCCCCGAACGTGGCGCACCTGGCGCGGCTGGAGTATGCGGCACACCTGGCACGCTCGGGCCCCAGGGGTGCCTGGCGCGCGTGGCGCGCCTGGCAGCTGGTCGGTTTTGGTTCCCGGTAGCTGTGCATCCCAAGACGACCGCTGAACATGCTGAGGCTCGGGTGTTACTTCTGTGTTGGGGGGGCCGGTGGGAGTGAGCTAGACGGTTTGCTACCTAGGGGTGTCTTGATCAGTATTCCCTATCAATACACACCCCCTCCCCCAGGCGACTAGGAGCCAACCCGAGCCAATGAGGCCCCCCCCCACCATCCCTTTGTAAAAATGAGGGCACCCCCCACCATCCTTTGCACAAAAAACAATACTAAACACGCTCTGCCGCCAAATTCGGAGCACACGCAGCGAACCCGATGCGGCCTCCCCCAACCATCCATGTCAACAAACAGTACAGAGTACACTTGGCGGCGGCGGCGGCGGCGGCTGCGGCGGCTGCGGCGGGGGCAGCGGCTGCGGCGGCAGCGGCGGTGGCGGCGGCGGTGGCCGCGGCGGCGGGGGCGGGCGGCGTTGGCGGTGGCGGCGGGCTGCGGCGGCGGCGGCGGCGGCGGCAGCGGTGTTGCGGGGGAGCAGCGCGGCGGCGTCGGGGCGGGAGGCAGAGCTGGCGCACGGCGCCCCGGCCGCCGCCACCGCCGCCGCCGCCGCCACAGCCGCCGCTGCCGCTGCCTCTTGCAGCCCCCGCCGCAGCCGCCGCAGCCGCCGCCGCCGCCAAGTGTACTCTGTCCTGTTTGTTGACAGAGATGGTGGGGGGAGGCCGCATCGGGTTCGCTGCGCATGCTCCGAGTTTGGAGGCAGAGTGTGTGTTTGTATTGTTATTAACAATGGATGGTGGGGGGGTGCCCGCATTGGTTCGGGTTGGCTCCCAGTCGCCTGGGGGAGGGGGTGTATATTGACAGGGGGCAGCGGCTGCGGCGGCGGCAATTCGGCAGCGGCGGCGGCGGGCGGCGGCGGCGGCGGCGGCGGCGGCGGCGGATTCGCCCCCCAGTAGCTGCCCATCCAAAGACGACTGCTGAATATGCTGCGGCTCGGGCCAGGCTCGGGTGCTACGTATGTGTTGGGAGGGCGGGTGGGAGTGAGCGCGACGGCTTGCGGGCGGTGAGGGAGTCTTGACCTCTCCCCCTCCCCCCTCCCCTAGACCTGGACGGGGCCGGTCGCGAAGTGTCAGAGGGTACTTTTTCGCCCAAGACGGCTCCAAGAGGGCTTCAGAGAGGCCGAGATGACCTCCAAGATAGTTCCAGATTGCCTCAGATGCCTCAAGATGGCTCCCAAGATGCTCCGAGAGGCACCAAGAATGCTCCAAGACGGCTCCAAAAGGCCTCCGAGACCTTGAAGGAGGCCCCAAAGAGGCCCAAAGTCTTCTTAAAAACCTATGGAAAATCACTGAGTATTGCGTCGTCGCCCGTTCGCTTTCGATAGCCTTCCCAGGCCTCAAGATGGCTCCAAGATGGCCGAAGAAGGCCCCAAGAGAGGCCCAGGTGAGCCCCTAAGATGGCCCTGGGAGCGCCCAAGAGCGCTCCAAGAAGGGTCCAAGAGGTCCAAGAGGCGATTTTAGGGGCTCCCGAGGGGGGAGGCTGATTGCGGCCATCCCCTTCTTTGATCGATGTCCTCCACGATGGCCCCAAGAGCCTCGAAAGTCCCCAAGAGCGCTCCCAGAGGGCCCCAAGAGGGCCTCAAGAGGCGCGAAGGAGGCCCCAAGAGGCGTCCAAGAGGCCTCCGAGAGGCTCCCAAGAGACCCCCTAGAAACCCCAAGAGGCTCCCCGAGGCACTCAAGAGGCCCCCGGGTCCGCCAAGAGGCCCCCAGGACGCCCCAAGCTCGCCACTGTCCTCCTCCTCCTCCTCCTCCTCCTCCTCCTCCTCCTCCTCCTCCCTCCTCCTCCTCCTCCTCTCTCTCCTCACCACCTCTCTTCCTCCTCCTCTCCTCCTCCTCCTCCTCCTCCCCTCCTTCTCTTCATCCGCCTATTTGTCCCCCTCCCTCCTCCCTCATCCCCCTCCCCCACCTCCTCCTCCTCCTCCTCCTCTCCTTCTGCTCCTCCTTCTGCTCCTCCTCCTCCTCCTCCTCCCTCCTCCTCTCCTCCTGCTCTTCTCCTCCTCCTCCTCCTCCTCCTCCTCCTCATCCCCCTCTTACTTCTTCCCCACGTTTCCTCATCCGGCAGGTCCGCGAAGGCGCATCCAGTTCACCCCTGGGTCTGCGCAGGCTAATCCAAGACTTCAGCTTGACTGCTTCCCTAGCAATTGATCCACTGCATGCTCATCCGCTTCCCTGATCAAGGCAACTCGCCTGGGCATCATTTGTGGATGGGCTGGTGGGGATACTTTTGGGCTAATCCAAGACTTCAGGGCAAAGAACGGGTCAGCCAAGCACTGACGTCAGAAGCGTGAGCCCGACGACAGACCGAGCACGTGTGCTAACCGCCCAGGGCGGCAAGCACCCCCTGGCCCATTATCCTGGCCCCGACGGGGCCAGGGAGGGAGCAAGGGTGCGCAATAAGGTTGTTGTGAGGCCCGCTACTCGAGCGGAATCTGCTTCGGAGAGGCGCGAAGGGGAGATGAAGCGAGAGGGAGAGGGGAAGGAAGAAGCGGAGGGGAGGGCGGGATGGAGGGGAGTACAGGGGAGGGAAAGGATGGAGGGAGGGAAAGAGAAGGGAGGGAGCCAACGGCCGACCGCCGCTCGCCTCTGGGATCTTCTTCGGGTCTACGTTCAGCTTTTCAAGCACCTGTCGCCGCCACTTCTGAGCAGCAAAGTACGCAACTCCTTTTGTCCCCGCTCCTTCTCCAACTCCTCCTCCACCTCCTCCTCCACCTCCTCCTCATCCTCATCCTAAACCTCCAACTCGTTGTCATTAACCTCCCACCGCCGTTAAACATGTCAGAGCCAGAGAGGCAGGAACCTTGCAGGCCGCGAGCCCAAAAGGGATGCCCTAGGAGTGGAGAGCACGTCCTCGCTGGCGCGTATGCGTGACTCGTCTGCGTTGTCATCGTCGCCGTCACCATCGGCGTCGTCGGCGTCGTCGCTGTCGTGGTGCGTATTGCTCTGCTCGGGACGGTCCCCCCTCAGGAACTGACCTCCAACCGCCTCATCTTCGATCATTTTGATATATTTCGCACCGTGCCCTTGGCACGCTAGAGCGTGTTTCAATGCATGTTAGCTGTGTGGTAGGGTATTTGGCGTCTGCAGCCCTCTTGAGACGACCCACACCCCTGCCCAGACGCGCATCCTAGAGACCCATCTCACCCCCAGATAGGCCAAGACTGCCCCAAGATAGGCACAGTTAAGACAGCCCCAAGACCCCAAGACGGCTGCAGGATACACCAAGACCAGCCCAAGACGGCCCAACGACGCCCAACAAGCCCAGCGAGGCGAACCCACGAAAAGCCTGAAGAGGCGCTGACCAATGCATTGGCCAAGAGCCTGGAAGGCGACAAACAACAAAAATGGCTGAAATCTATGTTGTTTGGCTTGGTCCACCAGGTGGCCTCGGGAAGGCGCCGGAAGGGGCCCACGATGCACCCAAGATGTCCCTCCCCAATATGGTCCCAGCACAGCATCCAGAGCGCCCCGTCGGGCAGCCCGGAAAGCCCCCACCATGGCCAAGCACGGCCCAGAGAGCGCCAGAACCTGGCCCCAGGGCCCAACCAGCGGGCACAGACGTGGCTCCTCCAGGCCGCTTCGGAAGAGCCCTGTGGAGCCATCACGCCCCAGACGACATACGATAGGCCCCCCAAAAGGCCCCAGCTCCCAAGACATGAAGCCCAAGAGGAGGCGACAAGCTGCAAGAACCCCTTCTCTGAGGCCAATTCGAGGACCATGCCATGATACGAAAGCTCCCACGTTCCCCCCCCCCTTCCGTCCTCCCCATTCACCCCCCATATCCGTCTTCCTCTCCCTCTCCCTCTCCCTCTCTCTCTCTCTCTCTCCCTTTCTCTCTCCCTATCTCTCTCTATCTCTCTATAGATGTATCGCGTTCTCGTTCTCGTTCTCTCTCTCTCTCTATATATCGGTGTTTCTCTTCATCTCTCTGCCTCTCTCTCTCTCTAATGCTCTCTCTCTATATATATGTTTCGCTCTCTTTCTCTTTCTATATCTCACTCTCCCGTTTTCCCACTACCCCCAACTCTCTCACCCTTTCCATGTTTTCATTGCCCATCCGTCTCCTTCGCTCTCTTTGTTTGGCCCTTCGTGAGGGGTGCATATATCTATACAGATGTGTGTACCTGTGAGTGTATGTCGTTGTATGTGTAAGTGTAGATGTATATGCTTACTAGAACCACGCGCTCACCTCGCGCGTGCCAATTTTCTAACCGACTGCGTCATCGTTGTCACTAGACCTTGCGTTAATCCACGAAACCCAAGATAAAACAGGAGAGATTCCCCAGGCGATGGCCGCAATGGCGCGTGGAGATGCTGGCTGTGCCTTCTGGGGGATAGTTTCGGGTTCGGTTGGCGGTCGCGGAGCCGTGAGAGATCGGCGTGCGACGCGTCGAAGTGACTGCGCAAGTGACGTGACTGCCACGGTGGCCGAGGAGAGCCCCAGAGGCTTAGGGCCGCCAGACCGCCCCCGCCACCATTCCCGCGGCCGCCACCGCCGTCGTGATGATCGTCGTGGTGATCGTCGTGGTGGTCGTGGTGATCGTCGTAGTGGTCGTGGTGGTCGTCTGAACGTGAGTGGACGAGTGCACGTTCTGGGGCGCGCTGTGTTTCTCGGGGGCCTTCGGAGGCCTCCGGATTCTCCAGATCTGTAGAACCCGTCGGCCGTCGTCGATCGATCCACCTCGCGTGGTCGCCGTCAGACCTCTGGAGGCCGCTGACGACCGTGGTCGTTGCGGTTGTGGTCGTGGTCGTTGTGGTCGCCGTCAACCACCTCCGCAGTCGTCTACCATGGAGGGGGGAGAATGGGGGATCCAGGGTCGAGGATCGAGGTCTGTAAACTATGTTGGGCCTCTTGGGGGCCTCGCGGGGTCGTTCTAGTCGCCGCGGTTGCCCAGGGCCGTGGGCTCCCACCAGCCCTCGTCCAGCGCGCGGTCTTTGGCCGCCGCCCCAGCTGCAGCCGCGGCCGGCGTCGTCGTCCTCGTCGCCGACTCTGCACGCTGTTGTTAAAGGGGCCCAGGGTCACACAAATAGATAGACACAAATCCCAGGATGCATATATTTTGCAATATATTATGGGTTTTCGTCTTCCCCCCCACTTCCCATATTTTCCCATATTCTCTTGGGGATCGACGATTACTTGTGTCTGTGTGTTTTCTATCCCCTCCTGAGTTGTCCAGATTTGGATGCGGTTGGCCTTTCCGTGGCCTCCCGTGCCAGAACTCGAGAGACAACCTGGGACCCTCGTCGTCCTCGACACCTCTCCTCGTCGTCCTCCTCGTCGTCCTCGGGGGTCGCCGTCGTCCTCCTCATCGCCCTCGACACCTCTCCTCCTCCTCTTGCTCCTGCGGTGTGATTCGAGACATCCGCACGGATGCTCACGGAGAATCTTCTGGATAACGATGTATATGTTCCCAGAGAGGCTTGAGGAACCTCCGATCAGGTTTGAGGAGACAAGAAGCATTGGTACTCCGTAGGTTTTTGGAGGAATTGGGGGTTCGCGCCTCTTCGGGCCAAGAGCGGCCAAAGACGGCTCTGACGGCCTCCGAGATCGCATCGAGACGGCCCAACAGGCTCCAAAAATCACCTCATAACGGCCCATGGGGCCTAGGGTAGCTGATCGCTGTCGGCGCTGCTGTTGCCGCCCCGCCCAGTCCTACGCTACTGCTACTTTGCATCTTCGGGGAGCCGTTCCTCCTCCTCCTCCTCCTCCTCCTCCTCCTCCTCCTCCTCCTCCTCCTCCTCCTCTCCTCCTCCTCCTCATCCTCCTCCTCCCTCCTCCCCCCTCCTCCTCCTCCTCCTCCTCCTCTCCTCCTCCTCCTCCTCCTCCTCCCTCCTTCTCATCATCATCGTCATCATCAGCATCATCATCATCATCATCATCATCATCATCATCATCATCATCATCATCATCATCATCATCATCATCATCATCATCAGCATCATCATCAGCATCATCATCATCTTCATCAGTATCAACATCAGCATCAGCATCAGCATCAGCATCATCATCATCATCATCATCATCATCATCAGCATCATCATCATCATCATCAGCATCATCAGCATCATCAGCATCGTCAGCACCATCATCATCATCAGCAGCATCATCATCCTCAGCAGTGTCCTCGTCATCATCATCCTCGTCATCATCATCATCATCATCATCATCATCATCATCATCACGCCCACCACCCCGACCACCATCATCAGCAGCAGCATCATCAGCATCAACATCATCATCAGCAGCATTATCATCAGCAGCACCATCACCATCATCACCATCACCACCACCATCACCATCATCATCATCATCACAGTCATCAGCACCATCACCATCACCAGCGTCATCCCCATTACCATCACCATCAGCATCACCATCATCATCACCATCACCATTATCAGCATCGTCATCATCACCATCATATCATCAGCATCACCATCACCATCATCAGCATCAGCATCAGCATCAGCATCATCAGCATCAGTATCATCATCATCATCCTCATCATCACCCTCATCATCACCCTCGTCATCATCATCCTCGTCTTCATCCTCCTTCTCCTCCTCCTCCTCCTCCTCCTCCCTCCTCCTCATTCTCCGCGTCTGCCTACTCTTCGCCGTCGGCCTCTCAAGCCCGATCATTCTGCACCGAGGGACGGAGGATTACGAGGCCCGAGGCCGCCGCGGCCGAGGTCGCGGCCGCGGAGGGCGGCAGGGCCCAGCGGCGACCTTCCAGCCTCGGGAGTGGTTCGGGCAGTTGCGCCTCGCAGGGAGCGTTTTGGGGTGCCCGCGTCGTCCCGGGGGGCCACGGGAGGCCCGAGTCACGACCCACGAGCCATCAGAGGGGGCGGGGCTTCCCCTTTGCTTCGCATCTTCGGGGGGGCACTCCCTGCCCTGTGTGTAGCAGTCTGTTCTGGTGCTCCGACGCGGGCTCGACGCAACTTCCACGTGAATGCGGCATGGATTCGACACAGAATCGACAAGGATTTGACGTGTTCGACATTGATTTGAAATGGATTCGACACGGATGGCTGGCGCGATGGGACAGGACCAAGACCCCCAAAGATGCAACATAGCCCACGTCCTGGGGCAACGCTCCCAGAATAGAGGATCAGAGGAGGAACAGGCACCGATAATGTTACCCGTGCCTCGCTTTCGCCAATTTGGGCCTCGGGGGACCTTCCCTGTCCTGTAAGTGGCAGTCGTTTCTTGTTCTCCAACGTGGCTGCGGCTTGGATTCGACGCGGATCCGACGCGGAATCGGTGCGAGGCATGGACTCGACATGGATGCGACACGCATGGCTAGCGCGATGGGACAGTACGAGGACCCCCAAAGATGCAACATAGCCCACGTCCTGGGGCAACGTTCCCTCCGGGCCCTCTCGGGGCCCTCTCGTGGCACTCTGGGGCCCTCTTGGAGGTCTCGTGGGATCCTCGTGGGATCCTCGTGGGCCTCTCCGAGGAGCTCGGAACGGCTCCAAGAGGGGCCCAAGTCAGATAGATCAGTGATTGATTTGGGGTTTGTGCTCCTCTTGGAGCTCTCCTGGACCCCTCTCGTGGCTCGAAAAGGCCCTCTCGTGGCCATTACAGGGCTGCCTCGGGCCCACGTGGAGGCCGTCTGTGGGCCCTGTTGGGCTGTCTCGGGCCGTCTTAGGGTAGTCGGTGGTGCCCTATGGCACGTCGTGGTGCGTCGGAAACTGCACAAGTACGAGCTCCCAAAAGCATAGAGGAACCTAGGGAGCACCATTGTTGTTTGGACCCTCTGGGAAGCACTCGTCAAATTCTCTTGGGCCGTCTGGCGGCGTCTTGGGACGGAAGGCTCGAATTATCGCGTCGGGTTCCTGCTCTTGGGCCCTTCTCGGGGCCGACGTAGGGCTCCCTCGGGCAGTCGTGGGCGCCTCTAAGCCCCCCTTTGAACCTTCTTGGGCTGTCTTGGGGCACTCGTGAACCCTCGGGCTCTCTTGGGAGCAGCTGTGGGGCGTGGGCGTTGTGTTTTGGCCAGGTCGTCAGATTTGAAGATGACGGTTATGGGAGCCTTCGGCCACTGCTCTGCAAACATGCGTGAGCAATGTGAGAGATGAAAAGCACGAATGGAGCAACATGAATCGGAAGATACAAAGGTACTTCTCGAGAGTTGCTCAAGAAAGGCGCTGTGCATGGCGCATGGGTTGGTTTGCCGAAGGCAAATCGCTGGGATGAAAAACAAAGGACGAGGCGGCTCGGGCGGCGGGTGTGTACCCTACGTTGGCTCCGATTTAGACAGATTGAGGTTTCACGTTCATCGCGATCAGATCACGCGCCGCCCAAGGCGGCTGCGAGTCGAAATCGGGGGAAAGATGAGCAGAATAGAGAAAGAGAGAGGGAATAAAGCAAGAGTCAGGGCACTCGGGCTGGCTCTCAGAGTCGAGAGCCTCGCCGGCTCCTCGGGGAAGCCGGGCCGCTCGGGCTCGAGCTGCCGAGGGAGGCCAGCATCCCGCGGAATTGAGCGGGGCGTTCTCCTCGAGCGTGGACTGGGGCCCTGCCTCGATGGCGTCGGCCCGCGCCAGGGCCGCGCCCCCGCGCCTCGGCGCCGCCGCGGCCCCTTCCGAGCGCCGCGGCCGCTCCGAGCGCCGCGAGGGCGGGCGCCGCCGCGGAGACCAAAAGGCCTCCGCCCTGCCAGGGCCCCGCCCGTCGGGAGCCTCGCCCCGCCCTCCTTCGCCCCGGCCTCGCACGCCGAGCAAGACTCGCACCGCTTCCGCACGACCTGCAAGACCGCGCCGCGGCCGACGTCCGCGCTGGGGTCCGAGCTGCCGTCGCCCCCGCGAAGCTCCGCGAGGGCCGCTCGCAGCACGATGCGCCGCCGCACTCTGGTGGTAGGGGGCCACATGCGAACCCTACCCCTACACACCACGATTTCTGAGGGGGGGGGCGGAAGTGAACCCCACCCTCCCCCTCAGAAATCGTGGGGGGCAGGGGTAGGGTTCGCATGCGGCCCCCTAGGTGGGGGGCCGATCACCTGGCAGCCGATCTCGCAGCCGTCGCTCTCGTGCTCGCACGCCTCGTCCTCGCCTGTCGGGGCAGGCGCGCAGGCGTGATCCTCGGCCCCTCCGCTGGGGCACAGGAGGCTGAGCGGCGGCGACGCCCTCGCCCTTGCATCGGCGTGCAGACCCAACCGAAAGAGTCTCGTCGCAGAGGCGTTTGCAGCTTCTGTTTCTGCAAGACTCAGACTGGAGGCCATGTGACCTGCCAGATCTGCTCTTGAGCCGCCCTCTTCTGGCTGGCGTCGGTCGCCATGGCGCTACACTCGAGGCAGAGCAGCATGTGTACGTCCTCCTGGGTCTGTCTCCTGAGCCCAATCAACCTCGACGCAAGTCCCCGACACGGCATCACAAGTCTGTGTGCACGCTTCGCCCTCGTGAGTTGCCACAGGGCTCCCTCTGCGCTTGTAAAAAGAAGTGTGCGCGTTGCGCCCTCATCGCCAATGCACCACACCGCCGCATCAGCCCCCGCGGCCAACGCGGCGACTGCGACGATCTTCGCGGCAGGACTCGTGGACCTGCGGCTGGGGTGGAGCCCCGAAACACGATGCCTTGCGGTGCGGGTTCGACACTACTAAGCCAAGCCTTGAGCCAAAATGGCTACGGGCAGTCTGCGGGCGGTTTTGGGGGCCTCTGCGAACATCGTGGAGCGTCGAAAGCAGGAAAAGGCGAGAATCCCCAAAACCGTTCAAGATCTCAGGGGAATTACTGGCTTTGGTCTCCTGGGACCCTATGCGGAGCGCTCGTCGAGTTCTCTTGGGCCGTATAGGGGTATCTTGGGACAGAAGGCTCGAATTGTCCGTTCGGGCTCCTGCTTTAGGTCTTGGGGTTCTCTTGGAGGCCTCTTGGGCCGTCTTGGGCCGTCTTCGGGCGGTCTTGGCGGACACTGGGGACGTCGTGGGGCGTCGGAAGCTGGAAAAGTCGAGAACCTCGCGAGCTTTTGAAGACCTACGAAAAATCCGCCGACCCTGTCGGCGTGTGTGAGGGGCTTTTCCGTTCGACTCGTCGTCTCCGTCGTCTCCGTTCTCCCCCTCCCAGGGCTCTCCTCCTCAAGCGCGCTATCCAAAGCGAAATTAAACGACGTCGTAGTGGAGTCGAAGGGAAGCCCCTTCCCTTTGATCCCTTCCCCGCAGGGGGGGGGGGAGGGGGGGGGGCCGGGGCAGATACGACGCCCGCCGGGGCGCACTTTCCTCGAGCGGGCACGCACGGGATGCACTTCCTCCTCCTCCTCCTGGTCCTCCTCCTCCTCCTTTTCCTCCTCCTCCTCCTCCTCTCCTCCTCCTCCTCCTCCTCCTGCTCCTCTCCTCCTTCTCCTCCTCCTCCTCCTCCTCCTCCTCCTCCTCCTCCCGCAGAGGCGTCCCGGGAGCGGGCCCCGAGTCAAAATACCACCCCCCTAGGGCGCATTTTCCTCGAGCGGGCACGCCCGAGATGCACTTCTTCCTCTTCCGGGAGCACGTCCCAAGTCAGAATATCACACTCCCGGGGCGCACTTTCTTCGAGCGGGCACACAAAGGATGCACTTCCTCCTCCTCCTCCTCCTCCTCCTCCTCCCTCCTCCTCCTCCTCCTCCTCCTCCCTCCTCCTCCTCCTCCTCCTCTCATCCTCCTCCTCCTTCCTCCTCCTCCTCCCCTCCTCTCCTCATCTCATCTCCTCCTCCTCCTCCTCCCTCCTCCTCCTCCTCCTCCTCCTCCTCCTCCTCCTCATCCTCCTCATCCTCCGCTTCCTCCCCCCACTCCTAGCCCTTTCGATCAGGGTCGGCGGCACCGGCCGTCAGGCCTCTCCAATCAATGCTTATTGCGTCTTGGAGCCCTCTGGGGAGCGTTCGTAAAGTCCTATAGTTTCGTTTGGGAGTTATCTGGGGTTGTCCAGAAACCCCGCGAGACATAATGTAGCCTCCGGGTGTCTTCGTAACGCTACTCAAGGCCGTGGTGGGATCTTGGGTTCCGGAGGGCGTCCAGGGAGCCCGGAGCCGACATGGCGACCAGAGGCAGATATGAGAGAGAGAGAGAATAAGAATAGGAGAGTGTACTTAAGAAACGAAACGGAACAAGAAAGAGGGAGAGGGAAAGGAGGAAGGAGAGAGAAACGAAAAGAGAGATAGAAAGAGAGAGAGAGAGAGAGCGAGAGAAGAAGCCAGAGACAGAGAGAGAGAGAGAGACAGCGAGAGAAAGCGACAGAAGAAGAGAAAAAAGGCGAAAGAATGCCAGCAGGTGGCGACGGGCCGGGCCGGGGCCTTGGCGGTGTTGCCGTCCTTTTCCTGGACCAGGGCCTCGGGCGGGTAAAGACCCCGCCCCCGCCCCTGTTCGTCCCTGCTCCTTTTCCGGCCCCCTCCCCTCTCGCCCCCCCTCCTCAATCCTCGCCGTTTTTTTCCTCGCGTTCTATCCGCATCCTCATCTTCAACATCAGCATCAACATCAGCATCAGCAGCACCAGCATCATCAGCATCAGCAGCATCATCATCATCAATACCACCAACAGCATCAACATCATCATCATCATCATCATCATCATCATCATCATCATCATCATCATCATCATCATCGCCAGCATCGCCACCATCACCAGCATCATCATCAGCATCATCGTCACCGTCAGCAGCACCACCATCATCGCCAACATCACTAAATGCAGAATCATCATCCTCCTCCTCATCGGGAGCACGGGCATCATCATATTCATCATCCGATTCATCTCCGTCACCATCCGGACCCCCATCATTTCTTTCACCAACATCATCAGCATCATCAGTATCAGCATCACCACCTTCATCATCAACATCATCAGCTGCATCATATTGATCATCATCAGCAGCACCACCAGCATCGCCATTAGCATTATCATTCTCCCGCTCGCGCGCTAGCGAGCTGTCTCCGAGCGCGGCCGCGGCGTGCGCGCGCGGGGCGGCCCAAAATGGGCAGGCCCGTCCCGCGCGCTCAAGCCGGGGCGCCGCGCGTCAGACGGTGGAGTCCGTCTGGTCGCCGATGTCGGCGAGGCAGCGCCCGTCAGCCTTAGAGTGGGAGAGGAGGGAGGGGGGCAGAGAAGCTGCGGAGACAGCAGGAGCTTGCTCACAGAGAATAGAAGAAGCATTCTCCCGCTCGCGCGCTAGCGAGCTGTCTCCGAGCGCGGCCGCGGCGTGCGCGCGCGGGGCGGCCCAAAATGGGCAGGCCCGTCCCGCGCGCTCAAGCCGGGGCGCCGCGCGTCAGACGGTGGAGTCCGTCTGGTCGCCGATGTCGGCGAGGCAGCCATACCCGTGCTCAAGGACCTTGCGAAGTGACAAGGTTTTGGCGGGCGGCCGCAAGCAGGGCAGGCCAAGCGGCGGGGCCGACTTGGAGGAACGAAGCGACAAGGCGGTCGCTGGCGGTGGCGAAGAACAAGATACGAGCCCGTGCGTGCTCGGGCAGCGCAGCAAGAACTGTGGAGGCGGCGGCGGCTTGCAGGTAGCGCTCGGCACTGGAAGCTTGACGCCAGCGCCCTCGCCAGAAGACGCGGGGGACGTCTTCCGTAGCGATATAGAAGTCTGTTGCGCCAGAGCCCCGCAGACAAGCGGGCGTCAGGTTGAGCCCCTGACCTGCTTTGGCAAGAGGGACGCCCAGAGCCAAAAGCAGATGATTCCACCGAGTACGGAAGCCGCTCGCGCCGAAGGGGGCGAGAGGATCGGTGGAAGCCAACCTCCCAAACACATGATTCAATATCATCACCGTGCCCCGATCGGAGCAGCGAGCATGTTGCGTCGGGTACGTTCTTCTGGTCTTTGGAACAAGAATCGAAAGAAAAGCATCCCCTTCAACTTCGAGACGGTCGCATGGAAGCGACAGGTCACAGCGGCGTGACGCCAGCAGTTCGCCAGGCCTGAGGAACATCGTGAAGCCCATGAGCAGCAGGGCCGCCATCACCGGCCAGTCCCAGGCGAGACAGAGCCCGACCATGGCGCGCAGCAGCGCGCGTGGCAAGGGGGGACGGAGCTTTGGCGGCTCCGCAAGCTTCCATTGTTTCGCTACGTCCCAAGCTTCTGTCAGAAAGGCCTTCCAATGCGGATGGGCGCTTTGGATTCCCAAGATGGCATGGACCAAAATATAATGAGGGAAACCTGCATCATGAAGCCACACGCCGAAGGTCGCGAGGAAACGGGCGAGAAGTATCCCGCTTCGGTAAAGTGTGGCGGGTGGCACGCCAGTGTGTTCTGCTAACCACAGCTCGAAGGCATCAATCGATCTCGAGCGACGGTCGAGATACGCGGAGGTGAGGTGAGAATCGCGCACGAAGGGAGTGCGCGGAGGGCGAGCGGGCGCGGACGGCGCAGCCCGACTAAGCCCTTGGCCTGCGGTCGGCGCCGCGGCTCCCAGAGAGATGCAGAGGCCGCAGACGCACCACAGGATGAGCGCAGGGCGGCCAGGGCTTGGAGAGCTGATCAGCGTGGCGGCCCTCCTGCGCCTGGACGCGTAGAAGGGCGGAACGAGGGCGTCCCGCCCGTCGGTCTCGAACCCCGACGCCTCCGCCAGCATCGCCCGCGCCGAGCTGAAGGATCCGCCCATGTTACGGTAGGCACGGCGAGCCCCTGCTTCGATCTCGGCTGGCAGAGCGTCCCCTCCCTCGAGGGTCGCCCAGTCAAAAGGCGGGCGCGGCTCGGCACGCGCAGCTGCGGCTGCTTCGGCGAGCTCGGAACGAGCTGCCGAGGACGTGAAACCCGAATGATGTGGAACGGGCACCACCTCCGCGAAGGCGTCGAAGATCTCGGACGGAGGGGAGTGGGATCCCCACAGCGCTGCTGGGATGGCGCCGTGACTGTCCTGCACGTGGTACAGAAGGTCGAAAAGGCAGGCCAATTTGCCCGCGCGCCGCCGCTGCTCGATCTTTGAGCCGAGCCCGATGCCACGGATGGCGCCCGCCCCCATGGCTTGGAGGTCAGCATGCGCGGGGATAGCCTCGGGCTCGACGACGGCCACGTAAGGATGCAACCACGAGGCCTCGTCGATCGGCTCGGCGCCGCCTGTCTGAAACAGGCGCTTGTAGGCGTGCAAGGCCCGCAGGAGGCAGTGCAAGTCATCCTTGCCCTCGGGCTCGGCGGCCCCTGCGGGTGCGAAAGACCTCAGCCACGACGCCGCGCTCTGGAAGGCAGCTTGCCAGGCGGGTCCCCACCTCACCACAGTGATCTTCTCACCGCCGATGTTGAGGCGCCACGCTAGGGCGCTGGCGGCCCCTGGAGGCAAGGGCTGCTCAGCGGCCGCAGAGGCCGTGCGCCGCGCTGCGAAGGCTGCAGCCGCGGCGCTTCCAGCGTCACCGCTGTGAAAGCCGCTGAGATGCAGCTCGGGCTCTGAAGCTCGGCCAAGCGCGAAGCCACTCGAAGGCCCCCCTTCCTCGGCGGCACGCCCTCCTCCCTGCGGGGCCGCAACAGCATCGCTGGAAGAGCGCATGCCTACCGAAGTCGGAGGGGCCTGAGCAGCGGAGTCCGCGCGGGAGCTGCCTGCGAAGGCGACGTCCGAGCTCGCACCATGGCGGGGCGTGGCTGGCTGCTGCGAAGTGGCGGGGCTCGGGCGACGCTTCGGAGCGACTCGAGGGGAGCGCACCTCGCGACGCCCAGGCGACGTCGCCTGACGCGAAGGCGCACGAGAGGAGTCGCGCGCGTTCGCTCGACTAAGCCCCTGGCCGGCGGCCGACCCGCGGGATCGCGACGCCGCACGCCCACCAGAGTGGTGACGGGGTGGTGGCGGCGGCGGGGGGACGGGCCGCGGCGTCTCGGAGCCTGCACGCGTGCCGCGGCCCCGAGAGCGGCTGCGAGCCGCGGCGTGAGCGGCGGGCGGAGAGGCCTCCGCGCGGCGAGGGAAGGCCGCCTGCAAGCGGAGGAGGACCTCGGGGTTCAGGCCCGCCACGACGCGCTCGAGGTCCACCGAGGAGTCAGCGAGGGCACTCAGCACGACGTCCTCGAGCTCCGTCGGAGAGTCCTCCTCGCACGCGGGCTCCGCTCTCGAGCGGCTGCGGGCGCTCGCGGGCGGAGACCCGTCAGGAGTGTGCGGGCCCTCCGATGCCTCCCCCGCCGGCGGCCCCGACGGCTCCTCAGGCGAGATCGAGCCGTCGATGGGAGGCGAGGAGCAGCCTCCCGAGGGAGAGGTGTGATCAGTCCCGTACGGGTTCGGAGACCGCGTGCGGCTGCGGGCAGGGCTGCGGCTCCGCGGTGGAGGGCCCACCCCCGCGGCGGAGCTGGAGCGTGCCGCGCCTGCCCAGCGGCGCGCATTAGCAGTGCGACGCGCCCTGCGGCCCGGCGTCGTGGCGGCCCCCCCCTCAGGGGCGGGGAGCGCCGCCGTCGAAGCTCGCCGCTGCTTCTTGGCGCGCCTGTTGCGCGCGGCGCCCGTGCGCGAGGCGGAGTGCGGCGCGTGACCACCGCGATTGGGCTGGTCCTCGACAGCTTCGTCCCGCGGGCCCAGGCGGGCGCGGACCGCGCGCCCCTCACGACGGCTGAAGCTGGACGCTGGGTCGTCGGCAGGTCTCGCCAAGGCGCGCGGGTCCACAGCTTCCACCTCGGCCAGGGAGCGCCCAGTGGACGACGCGGGGGCGTCCCCAGCACGAGCGGCACGATCCGCGTTGGCGAGGCCCGTCGAGACCTCAGCGTTGTGCAGGACGGCGCGCAGAGTTTTGCGCCAATCCCGACCCAGCTGGACGGGAGCCGTACGCGGCAAGCCCGCGGCCTCACGACTGGCGGCCTCGCGCAAGCGTCGGAAGTAGGCGCGATCGGCCATCCCTTCCGCGAGCTCGGCACGAGCGACGGCACGCTCGCCTTCGCCGCGTGCAGGAGCCTGCACCGTGCGCCTGGTGGCGTCGGCACGCGCGGTGCGGAGTGCGTCGAGCTCCACGCGGCCGCGCGACACGGCGGAGGCGAGGATGGCATCAGACTCAGCCGCCCGCGTCGCGAGGGCAGACGAAACCCCGCTCCTTGGGAGAGGCGCGCCCGAGGCGGGGAGGGCAGCCCGAGGGGCCAGCTCGGCACTCGCCAGGGCGACCCGCGAAGAGACCGCTTCTTCGAGCGCCTGAAGGGCCATGGTCGACCCAGGAGCCAGCTTGCCCTTGCGGGCGCCCTTCCCTGCCGCTTTTGCCTGGGCGTAGGCGCGAGCGGCAGGACCGTCACCGCCCGTGCTAGGACCAGCGGGCGGCGCGGCGGCCTGCGAGAGGGCCTGGAGCAACACTGACTTGGCGTCACAGAGCTGCTTCCAGTTGAGCGCGCGGGCTGCTCGCTCATCGGCCCCCAAGTGCGCAGGAGTCCTGTCTGGATGGTAGACT